TATCGGTCCGATTTTGGCATGGTTTTGGTTGAGAAACCAGAAGAAACGTGAAAGAACTGTCATCAAAAGTGCAATGAGCACAATGAGCAAAATGATCACAGAGTTTGGTGTTAGAGGTTGTTGCAATTTTCTTCTCATTCCATTATTCCTGTAAGTGCTGGGGAATGTAACCCTGTGATTTTCTTTTCAATTGTCATTTCAGTACCTTATAATGTTGTTGGTAGGAAATAAAACAGATGTAAACAGTTCAAAGAGAACTGTAATATTCATTGGCTCTAGAAGTGTCAACAGTAGAAATATATCATATATCATAACAAAGCATAAGAACATTTTGCTACGTCAGGTTAGCCTGCTTTCGGAACCCTTTTTGTGCTTTACGGACCTCTCTTGTACGAAGATTCCACCTTCTCGTTACAAAATGCAGCCTCATAATTAAATAGTGCTTGGTTTGATCTTCAGAAGTGGTATACAGGTATATTTCAAATGAGCATGAGGAAACATTCTTCTCTGATCTAATTATCTACTTATATATTTATGTATTTATTTCCCACATCTCTTTCTCTATCTAGATTCATCTACATATCGATCCTTGGATTTTATTTGCAGTGACTGGATGTGTCCCCATGCCCCACGACTAAGATGACCAAAACTAAGTACTGTTACCCCACTATAACCATTGTCCAAGTCATACCTCATTTGGTGCCTGAAAAAACCTAGGTTTAGGCAAACCATTCGCCTCTAAATACTTTTGGTACTTCACACTTCCTGACCTACAGCCAGGGACAGAACAAGTAGGCATGGTGGAGTTCCCCGTTGCATTTACCTATACATAAATTTAGAGAGTTGAAACTAAGTCATTGTGAGTACATAAGTACCTATGTATCTAAATTCAAGGATGAAATCTATTAATTAATATTGGTCTCTCGTCAGTTTTCCTGCCTAACACATGTTTCACAACTAAGCTACAAACAAGCAGACAACAGCATGGATCTCGAGCCATAGCGATACGGGCGCCCCTGGCGGTCAGTGTCCAAAACTCCGAGCCCCGGACCTGATTCGGAACGTTTCCGGTTTGCATAGCCGAGGCTCCATCTATGTTACTCCGTGGTAAACAGAGAAGGTCCCGCCTCGGGGTGCGCAGCGCACTGCCAACCTCCCCCGCCTGCTCCAGCACTGGCCGTTGCAGCAGTACGTGCGCCTTGAGCGGGGCGGGGCGGGGTGGGGCCCTGGCAGCAGCAAGTAGGCCCACTACTACTTCACTGTTCGGAAAGGTCACGTTATACCAGGTTATAGGCCTGAACACCTTCCAAGCCAATCAGAAGCCTCCGAAGCCTTAGCTCGAACATTGAAGTAATAGTGAGACGACTTTACACAAAGAACAAGATGGCCTTAGCCTACACACTGTACGGTACATTGCATCACTGCTGCAGCACAACCTGGCACCCAGAGAATCATTTCCGATCATTTCTTTGAAACAACAAAAACTGTGTTAAAACAAAGGCCTTTTAAAATTTGTGGGCACTGAGAAATGCTTTTGAATCAGAGAACCTGTTCTTATCCCAAGAAGGCCTTCTTTGATCCAAAGATGTTTGTTCAATGCAACTAAACAATCTTTTTTATATCAATAGAATAAATCTTTGATTGAAAGAAACACAGCAAAACTTCATTTCCTTTCATTTGTGATGGTTGCTTTACGTCCGGAAGTCTTTATCACAGAAATAATGAATGTTTTCTTTGATTTAACAAAACCAACAAAAAAAAATGATCCAAGGAAACTTTTTCTTTAAATTAAAGAAGGCTGCTTTAATTCATAGCAATAACGATAATGAACTGAATGATTTTGGTGGGATGCAACAAATTTAATGCAATGGAAACTTGGATTAGTCTCTTACCTTGGCTATTCCTTTGAAGCATGCCTTTGGTGTTGTATGTTGCTAATAATGGTGCGATGAAGTTGAGGTGGTTGTATTCTTACTTCTTCTCCTTGCCTCGTGATGCAGCATGAGTTTGCCCAGTTAGAACCCATCTTCCTCATCTTTCATGACAGACAGCAATGACAAAGTCTTCATCCTCCCACCGTTATGAATGTCAAAGTCATAAACGAAAAGAGTCCAGTTCTGATGTACATTGCCCTCGAAGAGAAGGGGCGGCGGCACGTTTTCGTTTTTCACTGATGGTAGGTTAGTACCACGAAGGTTCACACAAATTCACTTGAAAGGATCAGTGTCACTGCACCAAACTAATTCGTCACGACTGCACTATGTCGTAAATTACTACTGATAGCGGAATAATCAGGAGACAAAAGTTTAGATAAACACGCTGAGAGTTAAATCACAGGAAGACTGACTATCGGGAGATGCAGATTAATGGGTTGCCAACCTACAAGTATGAGAATATAATAGGCACTTATGCAAGTGAAAGGGAAGGGCGGTAACAAAACGTTTTTTTTGCTTCTTTCTTCAAGCGGAACCACATTTTGAGTTTTACATTTGTTGAAAATATGTGAAAAACAATCATGATGTTCGGAAGCGCAGCGGCGCATAAGGTCGTCTGCCTGCTGCCGGTGTTGGTCGTGGCGCCGACAGGTAGGCAACCCACCCGACCTGTCCGTTCCCCTTCCCCCCGCAAACACTATTTGCCGGGCCTAATGACCGCCCACCGAGTCGTTTTTGCTCAGCAGTGGTGCGGTACAGCCAGAGTTTTCGGTTAGTCGGACTCCCGGTGCATTCCTGACACAAGACTAAGCGGCTCGCCCGACGCCGGCGCCGAGCAGGGAGAGCGGCGTCGTTGATGGTTGTTCTGATGGTGTCAAGCGTTTCTCGGGAGGTCTCTGACCCTCATCCTCTGGCGCAGGACGAGTACCACTCCCGCGGTGGGTACCTGACGGTGCAGCGTTTCCCGGACCAGCCACCGCTGGCGTGGGACATCCTGGCGGGCGCCGCGGAGCTCGGCTTCCGCACCAACGTCGACCTGAACGGGCGCAACCAGACGGGCTTCACCGTCGCACAGGCCAACGTGCGCGACGGGCGCAGGCTGTCCCTGTCCAGGGCCTTCCTGCACCCGGCCAGGGACAGGCCTAACCTGCGGGTCATCACGAACGCCATGGTGAGTGCGTGGAGCAAGGCGTGGAGGCTGTCTCCTGGGCCGCCTCGTTGACGTGCCCGTCGACGTGCTTGTCCTCCAGGTGGTGCGCGTGTCCATGGACGGTGACCGTGCCCGGGGGGTCGTCTTCCACCGCGACGGCGCGCTGCACAAGCTGCGCGTGCGCAGGGAGGTGGTGCTGGCGGCCGGCGCCATCCAGACCCCGCACCTGCTGCTGCTGTCGGGCGTGGGGCCCCGGCGGCACCTGGAGGACGTGGGCGTGCGCGTGGTCGCCGACTGCCCCGGCGTGGGCGGCAACCTCCAGAACCACATCTCGTTCTCGGTGGACTTTGCCGTGGAGAGCATCACCCCGGGCTCCAACCGCCTCGACATGCCCGCCTTCGAGCAGTTCCTCAGCAACGGCACGGGGGCCATGGCCTCCACGGGACTCTCTCAGGTGAGGACGGACGGCGTTCACACACCCACAAGTAGTGTGCAACATTCACACACTTTGCGTTGCTTGTGTTTACCAGCTTTCTGTCTGCTTGCAGCTCACGGGCTTCGTCCACAGCCGCTTTTCCGACGGGGTGGCCTCCGGTCTGCCGGACCTGCAAGTCTTCTTCGAGGGTTGCATCGCCAATTGCTCCATCACGGGCTTGCCGGGAGAGCCGAGTCACCAGGGCGGCCCGATGCCCTTCAGGTAAAGACTGCCACTCAGTTTGCAGGAGGTGTTGTGAACACGTAGTCGTACTACTAATCGTAACAAACAACGGCGGTTCGATGTGCCGTTTCGCGTTCACAGTATACCCCTTCTAAGTGGTTCGTTCCTTCCGCTTTGCTTCCTAGGATGATCCCGGTGGTACTTCGGCCCAAGAGCCGAGGCGAGGTGCGTCTGCGCAGCAGGGACCCCACCGCGCCGCCCAAGCTCACCGCCAACTACCTCCAGGACCGATACGACGTGGACCTCCTCATCGACGGAGTACGGTACGCCCACCGACTGTTATGGTCCTCGCAGCACTGCCAAGCGGTCCATAAGTACAGCCTTTGCCTCTGGCCCCTCCCAGTGAGAAATTTATCCGACATCGTTTCGATATCGTTTTTCTCGTCGTTACGACTTAAAAGTGGTCATGAAATCGACTGCTTTTCGACAGTGAAACGTCGAAACGACATCGAAACGACATCAGCTGTCGAAAAGCCGTCGATTTCAGGACCACTTTTAAGTCGTAACGACGTGAAAAACGATGTCGAAACGATGTCGTCGTAAAAAATTTCTCACTGGGGCTGCACTCGTGCGCTCAGCACAGGGAGGCCGGCCACTGCGGCCACCGACTCCACATAGCTCGGCATAGCTGCTTGGCAGGTTGAACTACCTAGCCCGTTGCAGGCGCTATCGTCAGCGTCCTCGTGTCGAGGAACGTTCATCGACACCTTGACACGTCATTGTGGCCTGCCCACCCGTAGTTTTGACGGCTTCCTGTCCCCCCCGCTCTCGAGCTCGCCATAGATCTAAGCTGTGCCTCCCGGACTTGAACAGGTTCGTCCAAAGGCTGGCCAACACATCCGCGCTGCGGCAGCACGGCGTTGCCCTGGTCATGCCGGAGACCCCTGGTGGCTGCAGCGAGCTGGAGCCGGACTCGGACGCCTACTGGGAGTGCCTTATCCGGCACCGCACCAACCCCGAGAACCACCAGTGCGGCTCGGCGCGCATGGGGCCTGACGGAGGTACGTACCGGACGATGCGGAACGCAGCCTCGGTTTCGGTTCGTTGTTGACTCTGACCCGACTGTCCTCGCTCTGCTCACAGACCCCGGCGCGGTCCTCGACGCGCGGCTGCAGGTCCGCGGGGTGCGCGGGCTGCGAGTGGCGGACGCGGCCGCCATCCCGCACGTGGTGAGCGCCAACCTCAACGCGGCCGTGGTCATGGTGGCCGAGCGGGCGGCAGACTTCATCAAGCAGGACTACCCTGCCTGGGGCCTGGACAGGCGCCGCCCCACGGGCAGCCCCACGGGCCGCGGCCGGGGCAGCCTGCTCGACAGCCTGCTCAGCCTGGCGAGGAGTACGGGCGACTCGAGGTGAGACCAGGTCATGCCATGTCACCCTCCCCTTCGCCTACGTGCTGCATGTGTGATGTAATTCAGGACAAATGGCGTCTAGTCCGAGAGCTGTGGTGAGTCGTCCGTTAAGTACTTTACCCCTCGTCTGCTCAGAACCAAGAGAGTCACCCTAGGATCAACGAAAGCCATGTAGAATGTATAAAGTAGTGAAACAAATTACTTGTAAATGTATATGTGAAAATAATTTATTTTGACAAGCTGATGGATATGGCAGTCATCTTACCAGAGCTTGGAATAGCTATGAACAGCCATTACAATTTCAAATAATTATGTCTTATGATATGCACACCAATTGCAAGAATAAATTCAAGGAACTTTTATCACAAAGCTAAAAAAAAATTTGACCATTCTAGATTTTTCAGTAATATTACACAATTGTTATGCAATTCTGTAGAATAATGCAAAATATATGATCGATGAGTTAAAAAATCTTAACAATGAAAATGCGTGGAAGATTTTGCAACATTTCTCAACATTGAAACTGTTTGGGTTTCTAAATTAATTACGATTATGATGAAAAATGGTTCGTCATCTGTTATGAAATAGCGCGATTCTGACTAAAAGATTTAAACTATGTATGATCTCAATATGTATACATAAGCCTATTTTTCTGAAATTTTTTGTTTTAACTTAAAAAGAAATTTGAGGCTTGACATGAAATACTGACTCTTAAAATACATATTTTCTATGAAATGTAATCCATGTGATTAATATTACCACTTGAGGTCTAACACAATATCCTTACGAATTCTCTCCTAATTAGAGAGAAAAAGTTAATAAAACTAACTAAATAAAAGAGTCCCCTGGTACCCAGGAACATCCTACAAACTCTGACATAAAAACCAAATCAATAACACAAAAGCATGTAATAAATGCAACGTTTCATATCCATTAAAATTGTGCTACTTATAAAGGGATTTGCAATACAAAACTGGACTTTGGCATTGACTAAAACATCATCTTATGAAACTAATTCCCATTCAAGAATGTACATTTTACAACCAATAACCAGGTGAAAATTATAACAATGTACGTTTACTGAATCTTTGCACTGAAATTTCCTACAAAAAAAATCAATACAAAATACTAACAATTGTTCTTTACTGCACAGGACAAAAGTTCAGAATAGTTTTGACAATCAGATTAAAGTTAAAAAATACTCAAAAGCTTTCTTAGAAATTTGTTCAGTTTGGCCACATTCATAGATACCTATTGGCTACAAGCAGACAGGTAAAACTGTGCGTCAATGGGAGAGAGTCAACTGAAATTGAATGAGAGTTTGGAGACTACAGGTAAGGGCTAAGAGAAGAAAAATTAGGTTTAGCAAAGAAAAGAACTTGAGCAAGTACAGAGCTGGGCACATTACCATCTCATTGCAAAAGATTGCCACACTTCAACAAAATGGGTGTGAGAAAAGAATGTATCTGGCAACAAAAACCTTACAAACATAACAACTGAAGCGTTATTTTTCATTGAAGGAAATGAACAAAATGAAATTGAATTTTGAATTTTCAAGAGAGAAGGTCACCAAATTTTCATAGAAACCAAGCTATAGATTACTTCAAAATGTGATGCAAGAACAGTCATAGCATAGCCCATTGAAAGAAAATGCACACAGTTTGGTACTTGAATATACATACCATACATCATACCCTTTATAATTTTATGTTCCATTACACACATACGCTCAGCAAAAGTTTGTTCACAAAAGAAAAATGCATACGCGCTTACATGCGTAGTCTCTGGAGGGCAAAGATCCCACCTTAACAACTAAACCATCACAATGAGCAAGTATCAGGCGTCAAAGCATCCAGAGCAACTCCATCAGCATTCCAGGAGGTTGGAAATCATCCAAAGTAGAACATGAAGAGACATTAAGCAAGGGTTTTAGCACACATAAATGGTAATCTACATACAGCCCTACAAAAATTTCTAAGGACCCAAGCCTTTCAATGAAAAGAAGATCTAACAGTATCAAATTCAAGCTTAGTACATGCATGCTAACAATAATACAGGAATAAATGATGATTGAAACGAAAATTTGATAAGTTAAAATTAGAAAAGAAATGAAAATTAACATGATTCATTTATGTAAGCATACATTGAGTTAAATTCACTTCCAGGTAACAAAATATGGGGTAAGTTTTTACCGGAAATGCAAAAAAATCAAGTGATTACAGGTCCAGTCTCCACAGAGAGAAAGAGAACAATGAGGCATACATCTGAAAGAAATGAGAATTATACCTAAAACAGAACTAAAAAGTTGTACCTGTGGATATTATTTCTTCATACATTTCATAAAATTTCTATAAAAATGGTAACTGACCTACCATATTAACTACTGCTCTTAGCTTAGTCTTTACAATAGCTTTATATCTATTACAGACTGACTTAGGATAAATAATGAAACGAAAAACAATTAACCATTATATAGTGAGTGATTCACTTCAATATACAAACAAAATTACACACATCACAATTAAATATAATTTTATACACACATATACAGAGGATGTTTGTTGAGCACAAAAACCTCAGTTTTCATTAAACTAATCACTTGGAATTGGTATGGAGCGCTGTGAGATAAAATTAGACTGAATAATGAATATTGAATATGTTAGAGGGTACTAAAGAAGAAACCTGGTAAGGCGAGATCTGAAGAAGGTACACAACCATTGATCTCGCAACAACTTCATTGATTTTTGTACTAAAACTAACTTTTAAGATCTCAGTGCTATCTAATTTTTCATCCAAGTTACATCTCCTATCTACAAGGTATATAGACACAATTAAATAGTATTTCACCCACCTGATGCCCTGACAACCAAGTGCCAATGTTTTATACAATAAAACAGCAAAAGAATGGATGTGTGTCGCTATTTCCACAGGTCAATCTGGCAAGGCAGAATTTAGTCTCAATGCATTAACTCCAACATACCACTAATTTGGCTTTATGATCCTGATCTTATTCATTAGGTAAAAAATTTACAGAGCTTCCAACAGTTATAAAAGATACACTTCAATTTTGAATATGCTAAATACTGTAATTTTCAAATTTGTCTTTGTATTCCTTATAAAACATAGAGCTATACTGATTTTTCACATGCCAGTTAAAATTCAAAATGTACCTAATTCATTAATACTCACACTTAAAAGTCAACACAGCAAAATTTTTTGATTTAAAAAATAAGTCTTTGATGTGCTACTGGAAAACTACATTGCAAAATGAAAATGGAAGATTTATTCAGACAGCATAGGCCATTAAAAGCCAAGCTACAATATTGAACATTTAGAAACAACTTATGCCATTTTCACAGACAAAACTTTTTAAGCTAAATCAGCCATAACTCATATAAAGCTGAAACATGTCATCACAGATGATTATCTCTGCTACTTCAATTATACCAACAGCTTTGATTGCTTTCAGACCACCATTAATAGTGAAGATTTGTCTAATATTGAACTAAAGATACATAAATAGCAGCTTTCAAAACATGCAAAAGAATATATAGAGCCTCAATGGTGAAAACTTGAATGCACCCATCAGGTTTAAAATCTCCAATTGAGATTCTAAATGACTCATTGATTTATAAAAACACATTCACAAGGTCACAATTAAAGATGTCATGATACCTCAAGCAAAACTCCTTGATTTCTCTGCTAACAACATTTCTTACCCCTCGCTTTTTTGGGGCGTCCAGGGATCACAATATCTCTTTTATTAGCTTCTTGTTCTTTATTATCTTGTTTAGTTCTCAAAACTTGTCTTGTTACTGCCATAAACATCTAAAACAGAAATAAAAGTTGCACAGGTAAATAGTAAAGGTTCATTGAGAAATTCCATTAAATTAATTTGTGGTGAGGTACAAACCTCTTCTACGTTAATATTGTCCTTGGCACTTGTTTCAAACAGCTGGATGTTCATTTGGTCAGCAAATCGCTGAGCATCTTCAGTGAGGACAACTTTTCTATCAGGGGCATCATTTTTATTGCCAACTGTAGAATGTTAGAAGATAAGAACTTATTACTATGAGAAGACACTTTCACAAACTAACAAATCAATGTATTATTTGATTTCCTTACCTAGGATTCTGTTAACAACTTCACAGTTTTGTTCTATTTCATGGAGCCACCGCTTCACATTTGCAAACGAATCTCCATTAGATACATCATAGACAACAATGACACCATGAGTCCCTCGATAATATCTGAGCAATAAAAACATGTATGATTTACATTGGTGAGTTACACACTTCAAACTATAATTTTCAGCCCAACACTTACGTTGATGTGATAGTGCGAAACCTTTCCTGACCAGCAGTATCCCATATTTGCAATTTTACCTTCTCTCCTTCAATATTTATGGTTCTTATTTTAAAATCAACGCCAATTGTAGTAATATAACTACCAGAGAAAGTATTGTCAGCAAACCTCAGAAGCAAGGAGCTCTTCCCCACACCTACAGGGGAAAACAAAAGTTAGTAATGTTGACAGTTGTGTAAGTAGCGGACTGAATGTTTGTGATTAACAATAACTATATATTAGGGAAGTGCTAAATAACATGGACACCATGACGGTTTCTCAACAAATTTCAGTCAATTCATCGGCTAACAACGTTATCAAAGAAGAGACTCATAACCTACAGGTATAATACATCAAAATGTAGAGGAGGTTATAACCTCTCCCATCAAAACATAATGCTCCAACTCATAGCAAAGTAATTTAAAAGCATGCTGATACAAAACATCGCAAAATTAAGAAGGGGAAAGTACCAGAACAAGTAAAAATAAGAGTTTAAGAGGAATATGTTATTACCACTGTCCCCAATGATGAGGAGTTTGAAGAGGTGGTCGTACTCCTGTACCATGATTGACACAGTATAAAATGCCTTCGCTACAGAGAATATGTGACGATAAACGATGACGTCGCTAATAATTTCGTGTAACCACTAAGAAATGTAATTGTCTTTAGAGCACTGCATGAGAAAAAGCTATACAATTACTACACGACAAAAAAACAAGTAATTTCTAGCAAAAAATGAATCACTCCGCCCAACGTCTGTCACTTGTTTCATTTGCCCCCCGCCCCCTCCCCCCAAACGGCCTCTCATTGCCCTTTGTTTTCGAGAGGGCGGAGCACAAGTATATCGCCATTCTATAACTTCGAGAGCCTGATGCGAGGCTACCAGGTCTGACTAAGAGAAATTATTAGCTGCCTGAACCGCTGAAATGAAAACAGGTGAGCGCTCCTCCATCCGCGCCGTTCCGGATGAATCTTTGAACGGATACAGCTCCCATGTGCTCCGCTGGCGGGACGGCACACTCAAGGGTGAGCTTGAATGCGCGGTAGGTTGGGTCGTAAGAACACTTTTGTCAGTCACAAAAACGCCTGGGTGCGGAAAATTGTCCCTGACACATGCGAAACACAATGGCGTTGGAAACTTTCAAATCGGTTAGTATCTTCTGCCCGTTCTCTAGAGCTGAAATTTCGAATTTTTACCTAAAACAGTAAAGTTTAGGGTTTTGCGAAAATGACCTTCAAATCGCTACTAATACGTTCTGAGGGTGCCAATGATGAAAAGCCATTATAACGTAATCCCGAGCTCATATCAGGTTGCCAAGTTTACCCCTAGCCAAACATATAAGAAAGGGGGAAAGGCTTAAATTGTGTGTTTTCCGGGGAAACGTTGAAGTCAGGGAGAATGTAGGCTTCGCGGTCACTACTCCACCACTGAGGTCCAACTGCAGGGAGTATCGCAAGGCGGCGATACCCCGGGCTGCGCCGTTGGCATGGCCTGGTCAGGGGGTTATCAAAATAAGCATCGGCCGACCGGCCGACCGACCGACCGTCCGGCCGACCGTCCGGCCGACCGACCGGCCGACCGGCCGATTTTCCAAAACGTGTTTAAAGTGGGTGACACGCACATTTTCGGAAAGGGGGAAGTGTGGGGATCATTATTCTGTAACAAACATTGAGATACGCCGTTTATAACGCCCGTGAGACGCACTAGGATAAAGTGATAAAGGAATGCGATCAACTGTAAATGCCCGCGGCGCTACTTAAACTGTCGTTTCTAATCTTGGTGTAAAGTGCTGACCCAACAATTTGCAAATTTGTTACGTTTCAACATGAGAAACGGCAGTTTTAGAAGCGCCACGGACATTTACAGTTGCTCGCAATACTTTGTCACTTTATTCTAGTGCGTCTCACGGGCGTTATAAGCGGTGCGTCTCAGTGTTTGTCACAGAATAATGATCCCTACACTTCCCCCTTTCTGAAAATGCGCGTGTCACTCACTTTAAACACGTTTTGGAAAATCGGCCGGTCGGCCGGTCGGTCGGCCGGACGGTCGGTCGGTCGGCCGGTCGGCCGATGCTTATTTTGATAACCCCCAGGGCTTGGCCAGCCCTGTTTCGAAGTGAATCGCCTTGAATAACGTTGCTTCCGGCTCCGATTTACCTGGTCGAGCAGCACCTTTTTGGTTCCACAAAAACAATGGAAAGAAACCCGAGGGGCGTAGTTGGAGAGGGGGGGGGGTGTTAGTTGAAAAGAAAAACAAATTAAACGGACATTTGATTTTCCACACCCAGGAAAATCATTTGTTGGCTCAAAAGGAATTTACTGAAGAAAGGTTTTTCCTGGGTGCACTTATGTTATATTTCCTCTCCTTCTCATCGATGCAATAGGTGAGGCCCTCTGTTGAAAATTGACTTAAAAAACTGCATGTGTACCAATGTTTTTAAATGGAGATTCGCATTCGCCTACAGAAGCAAAATAGACAGGTAGCAGCTGCAGAATTGAATTAAAAACAATCTCTTATTTCTCTTTTTCATATCTTTACGCTCGATCTCTCTCTCTCTCTCTCCCTCCCTCCCCCTTGGTACTTCATGAATGCGATTCTCCAGGAGCCGTTTGGTGGCGCCGCCGAGCCGAAGACAACTTGGCGGTCCTCGAAACTGCACTCTCAGGATGAGGTGTCCTTTTCGCCGCCGGTATAATGGGTGGAACAGGGCGGAGCAGGGCGGAGCAGGGCGGAGCAGGGTGGAGCAGGAACGAGGGCCGCAAGATACGCAAACACCCTACATACCAGGTGGCTGATTCGCGCACTTCTGTACTGTGCAACCCCAACCCACCTGCACGGTTCCATCCGGGACTGCATTCTCATACCCACCGGGCGCAGGGGACCGGCTCCAAGCGCCAACGCATCGCTTCACCACTGTTGCTGCAGCCAACGCCCAGGGGCGCTGTTGCGCGGGTTCCCGCGAGTCTGCAGGGGTAACGCGCGGGTCCGCCGGGTTGACTCGCGGATCCTGCCACGGGGATATCTTGCGTCCCCGGATCCTGCCACAGGGGTAGCTCGCGGCGCGGTCCACGAGTCACCCCGTGGACCCACAAGCTACCTCCGCGGACCCACGAGTTACCCCCACGGACTGCTCGCGGATTACCCCCGTGGACTCGTGGGAACCCACGCGAAACCGCGAACAACCCCTTTGTACCGCCCCTGGGCGTTGGCTGCAACATTAGTGGTGGAGCTTGGAGCCGGTCCCCTGCGCCTGATGGGTATGCAGTCCCGGATGGAGCCGTGCGGGCGGGTTACGTAGTACAAAAGTGCGCGGCGTGAATCAGCCACCTGGGACATGTGTATACGTGTGTGTGTGTGTGTGTGTGTGTGTGTGTGTGTGTGCGCGCGCACGCGCGGTTGAACTAGAGCGCTGGCTGCTATGCGCAACGAGCGAGCATCGGATGGATGCCGAAGGGGTCTGTGTAGTTAAACCGATTCGACCAGTTTTCCATCGTTTCGAGGTCGTATCGACGTCGATTCGACTTGTCATTTCTCACTGGGAGTGCCCGTCAACAGAAGAATTAAGGAAATCACCACCGGAACCAGTTCTAAAGTACAGGTTAAAACCAGTGCAAATTACCCTTAACACACAGTTCACTGATGATATGACAAAGGGGTTTAAGTCCACCTCAGGGAGACTTTAACTTTTTGGGCGCGGAATGATGTGTACATGGTAACAATCATGCCAGCCCAACGGCATGGTGATATCTTGAACCGTTTGGCTTTTACGGGGTGTCCGTAAGAACACGCGGCAGCTCGATGGGTTGCCTACGCACTAGCGTACAGGCGCGGAGGGCGCGGGGGGAGCGGTGGAGGTGCGCACCATCCAGCGCATTCCGAACAGACTATAGAGGCGCCGTTTAGGACCAAATTATTTTTCAACGAATGTGAAAAAGAGGGAGTACCCACCCCGCTTTTACACGGGGGCCCCGCGTGCTTAACTTCGGAGTTCGGATGGGATCCGGTGTGTCCACGCCAGCAGCGCCAGACTATTAGATCCGACCAACTGTTGACCAGGGGTGTCGCCTACCCGCTTAAACAGGAACGACGAGTACCCAATTTGTTTTGGGAGTACTTTCCTCATCCCACCGCAGTAGTTAGCGAACTGTGGTCTCTGTTCCGAACAGCCGCTCCCAACCGCAGTGGTCAGAACATACTCCCGGGGTTTGTGA